GCGGGGAGAACACATGCAGTCCCAACAAAGACAGGGGTCAAAAGGAACCCCAGGAGGCAAAGCACAGGTGCTCTGGGGAATTCTGGGGAGGGCTCTTGTGGGGAAGGGAAGCTGACCCCTAACTGACACAGTTACTCTTACTGTACAGACATGCTCCGAATGTTTTAAAATAACGTCAAATAATTGGCTGCATTTATGCCACCTAAATTTGGATGCAAATATCAATGGATCCATAGAACCAACACCCTCTGAACTTAAAAACAAGAAAAAGAAACCTCTTGTGCCCCAAACACGAATCCACGGCAGTGAGTGGCGGTTTAGGCCACATGATTCACAAGGACAGCAGTGCCTGGGGTGTTAGTGTCAGCTCGAGGTGTTGACGGAATCAGCCTCCTGTTCTGGCCTGCTGAGACCTTGTGGAATCCTGAGTGAGTTGTGCTCCATGACACGCATTTGACAGCCACCCTTCCACGCGCATGCTCACTCAGATCACCAGTGAGTGTATTGTACAAGGGGAGGGTGGAGGCGGATTCCACGGCTTCCTTGTACAGCAGAGGGTCTCAACCTCGGCTGCCTGTTAGAAGTACCCGGGAAGTCTCTTACGATCCTGATGCCCGTGCCACACCCCAAACCCATCACACCAGAAACTCTAAGGGTGGGATCCAGGCAGCATATTTTTTAAAGCTCCTCGGGTGATTCATTTTTGCAGCCAAGGTTTGAACTACTGCTTTTTTTTTTTTTTTTTTTTTTGAGACAGGGTCTTGCTCTCTTACCCAGGCTAGAGTGCTGTGGTGTTACCGGAGCTCACGGGAGCCTCAAATCTCAAACTCCTAGGCTCAAGCGATCCGCCTGCCTCAGCCTCCCATGTATCTGGGACTGTAGGCACACGCCACCACAGCCAGCTAATTTTCCTATTTTTTGTAGAGGTGGGGTCTCTCTCTTGCTCAAGCTGGTCTTGAACTCCTGGGCTCGGCCTCCCAAAGTGCTAGAATTATAGGCGTGAGCCACTGCATCCAGCCCTGAACTACAGCTTTAGAAACATCATATGTCTTATTTCTCCAGTTTGAGTTATAGAGCCGGATTTTCCTAATGAAAGACCCACATTGTTTTCCCCAAAAGGTTTTCATGAAACCTTGCACCGCAGGTTGCAGTACTCATACTTGTTGCCTGCATCCCCTCTGCATTTTGATGAATAATGATGTCACAAAAGAAAATTCTTCCAGTCCACTCTGACTTGTTCCTGTGACTCACAGACCTTTTTCTAACTATTCTCAAACCATCTCTTTCATCATCCATTTAGGGATCTTTCCCAGGACTTGCATCAAGTTCATGAGTCTCAGGAATCCAGATTCTTTTCCCAGTTGGAAACTAAAACTCTAGTCTTCTGATCCTTCTTCTGTTTTATCACAATTCCTCAAAGATTTTGAACCATTGTTCAGCAACCTCATGCACAAATTCACTCTTGAAAGAAGTGGGACATTTATATGTACTGCAGTTGGCAGAGAAGATAAAACGTGAGCTGCATGTTGGGTCTGTGTGTTGGCCTTGACTGAGCTGAGAAGTGTGAGGATGACAAAAATGAGATAAAACTTTCTTGACTCAAGCAAGGTATGGAAGAGTCTAGAATTGCTGCAGGTAGCAGGCAGGAAGGAGCCCAGTCAAGAGCACTGGGTAAGAAAACAGAGTTCTACCTACAGGACATGGTTCAGCTGGTGGGGAAAAGGCTAAAGACCCACGGTCTGCTGGGGTCCTCTGGTCACTGCTTCTTCCTGTGTGATCCCTACAGGCAGGGGTGCTGTTATTTTTTGCCACCAAATCCCCAAAACCTTACTACACACCCTGAGACATAATAAAGACTACATAGATGTTTATTGAATGAATAAATGAATGAATGGGTTGGTTTTCAGGTTGTTCGTTTTAATGCCACAGGCAACAATGTGGCTTTTCTTGTTCTGAAAAAACAAAAAATAAAGACAGCTCTCCACCGTGCTCATGAAGCAATCTGCACGTCCTGTTTATGAACTAATGCCATCTACCATGAGCTATTTTTAAAGGTCTCCCAGAAAGCCAAGTCTGTTTGTTGGCTCCTACTCCCTGCCTACCAAACTCAAGCTGGGGTATTTAAGGAGCTGCTGACAAATAACACTTGGAAAGCTAAATTTAGCGTATGGCGGTGCCATGTGGAATGGCTTTCATCCCTGGACTTACCTCCAGTGCCCCACCCCTTGTAAAAAATAACCCATGACAAATACATCAGGTACAAAAAAAAAAAAAAATTCTCCAGTTGAAAGTGGAAATACGAGCTCAAGTTGGATCCTATTATAGCTGTGCATGAGCGAGTCCTTCAGAAATTTATCTAATTACAATCAGCCTGAGAAAAATAAGATGGCAAAATGGCTATGCTTAGAGAAATGAACTATCCAAAGAGCCTAATATTGCTACTGAAATGAACAGAGCAACTACAGGATATGATAATGAAGGGGGCAGGAGCAGATGAGACACAAGCCCGGAATTTTACCCCGGCGTACGTTCGAGAAGGGAAACCGTCTCCATTGCGCTGATGTATGTGAGGGCATCGGGGCTGCAAGCTCCTTGCAAACACGGTCTGTACCTCCTTAACCCACTGCCTTCCCCGCAGCGCCCTGGTGTCCCAGGTACCTAACAGGGCCTTAAAATAACTGCTGTTGTCATTGACGCTGCTGAGCAGCTTTTGCCGCTGATGATGTGCACAAGGGAGATAAACTTCAAAACACGTGCCATGAGGGGCTCTTTTGTTGGGGGTGGTTTTGCTGGGGTTTTTCTTTTTTGTTGTTGTTGTTTGTTTTGGGTTTTTTTTTTTTTTCAGACAGGGTCTGGCTGTGTTTCCTGGGCTAGATTGCAGTGGCTTCATCCTAGCTCACCGCAACCTCAGGCTCCTCGGCTCACGCAATCCTCCTGTCTCAGCCTCCCCAGTAGCTGGGACGACAGGTGCACACACCACAACTCCCGGCTAATTTTTTTTTTTTAAGAGACAGTGTCTACCAGGCTGGTCTCGAACTCCTGGCCTCAAGCAATGCTCCCACCTTGGCCTCCCCAACTGCTAGCATCGCAGGCGTGAGCCACCACACCACTCGCCGGTTCCAACATCCTGGTGGGGGGGAAACAAGGATTGTTAAAAAAAAAAAAAAAGGAGAGGAGCAGGGAGAATTTATTTATGTTACAAGAAAAAAATAGCTTATTAATTTTTCTATGATAAAATAAAGCCCTAAACTAACCTACAGTAAATAACCAGTAAGTTACTAATAAAGAACTGTTACCGTTCATTTTCTAAAAACTGTGACATGTCTCTTCTCCAGCAAGGGATGCATACTTGGGGATCAGTTCTCAGCCACGGGCAGACACTCAGAGGCCACCGCAGCGCCAGTGATGCGTTTGGGGACCTGGTCTGTCCTAGGAGCCTCCCTCCGGGGACACTCAGCAGAACTTGCTCCCGTGCAGCGTCTGGCTGGGACCCCCCCCCCCCGGGCCCTTCCCGGGGGCCCTTGCGGCCTTCGGCCCGGGCCCCGTTCCCCTTTGGGCCCGGCCCCGGGGATTTTGGGGGGACAGAAGGAAAGAACACTCTTCACAGCAAGAAAGAGAAAGCCAACTTATTTTGGGTAGCAATCACTTATTAACAAGAATTTGCCACGTCTAAGCCTCTGGACTTCGGGGCCGGGGGTCACCTTTGTCTGTGAAGGGCTGGATGATGAACACTTCCGGCCTTGGGGCCACGTGGTCACCGTCGGGACGGCTCAGCTCTGCCATTACGCGTTCAAAAGCAGCGGCAGCCGATATGTACATGAGGGAGCGTGGTAAGGTTCCAATAAACTATTTATGGACACTGAAATCTGAATTCATGTAACTTTCACGTGTCATGAAATATTCTTCTTCTTTGGTGTTTCTCCAGGCATTTACACATGTAGAAATCGTCCCTGGCTCCCAAGCCCTACGAGAGCCGGGAGTGGAGGGCGCCCACTAGCCGCCGCAGACAGACGCCCTTTCAGCTCTGTCCCGAGAGCTGGCCCCACCGGCCCGGCACCACCCTCCCTGGGAGAGACCCTGAATTCTGGCAGCAAAGAACCTCCCCGGAAAGTGGCTCCCGACAGTGAGGCCCAGTTCTGAGCAGGTCCTACTTGATGCACCTAGAATCGGGCCGGCGCGGCGTGGCCGAGAGAGGGCGGGTTCTGGAGACAGGCACCCATGGGTTCCAGGCACAGCTCGGCCGCTGACTAGCGGAGAGGCCCTGGCCACGCTGCTGCCTTCGCACGGTTGTTACTAGGAGTGAACACAATAATACTGGTGCAAAAAAACAACTGGTGCACATCCGGTGCGGTGCGTCTTAAATGTTTGTTTCTTTCCTCTGAGTTTAAAACTTTCATTCCGTAACTCTCAATATAGCACATTTTTTTTTAAAACCTGGAAGGATATTACTTATTCGCTAGGTACTGTGGTCACTAACATCATGTTTAGACGTTAGTCCCTTAGCCTACACAAACAGGCAAATGCAATGCTCCTTAAGGCGGAGGAATCATCTGCCCGGACAAACAGCAGGATGAAAGAGAGGAGTCCATCCTGATGCCACGTGTGTGCGGGTGTCGGCCCAGGTGCACGGAGAGCTGTTGGGAGATGCACGGACGTGTCCGTCTCTGGAGTTCGCATGTCTATAATCACAAGGGACTGAGCACTGTGGCACCCCCGTGGTCACATGACCTTGGCCATATCAAGTAACCATTATCACATCGGAGTCCACAGCAGTTATAAATATGCTGGATGACAATTGAGTAATGACAATAGAAATAGCTCTCCCTCCATAAGACCATCTTTCCCATTCCTGAAGAACCTTTCTGAAATCAGCTGCATCACAATGCAGAGACGGCCAGAGCCGGTGAGAGGAAAACTGCAGATCTATCAGAAGACGGAAAAGGGGCCTCAGGTTAGGGCAGGGTCCCCAGTGCTCCAGTGCCACGCCGCCTTGGTCACAGGAGACCTGGGCCACCTTAAGCCCCTCATGGACCAGTTCTTCCAGGATGCCAACGTGGTGTTTGAGATCAACAGGGGCGAGATGGAATGGCAGGTGAAGTCCCCGGCCACGTTTGGACTGTCAGGTACCCTTGCTCCTTTAAAGCTGAGTTATTTGTCCCTAAGGGGTTACTAACCCTCTTTCGGCATGCGTGGCTCTGCGTGCAGACTGGGTGCTTAGCCACTGGGTTTAACATACGCGAGGAAAGGGCGTCTGTAAATGAGCTTTGGTCTGCAGTAGCTTTGAGGTGTAGGCTCTAGGTGATGGCATGCCAGAGACCAAACTGGGAAGGCAGCCTGTTTGGTGGGCACGCCCATCCGATGACGCTGGACGGGGCTCCTGTCTTCAGAACGCAGCGCTGGTCTGGGTGCTGCTCCGCCTGCGCCCGCACTTGGCAGCCAGGGCGGCGGGAGCCAAGAAGAAAAGTCCCTGCGCAAGGTCCTTCCATGAATCCGTGCCGCCACAGCCACAGCGGGTGACTGGGGCACAGCAGCCTTTACAGAGGCAAGGCCACGGGGCTCCCAGCAGATCCCCCCAACCCGGAGTCTAGGCAAGCCTGAGAACAGGAAGGACAGGGAAAGGAAGCAGAGGTCCTTGTGCCATACGTGTCCAGGGGGACTTTTGCTGCCTGACAACGGTCACTATGTGCTGGGCCTGTGGGCAGAACCCCCTATTGGAGAGACCCCCCCACGCCCCCGCCCCAGGATGTGCAGATGCTCGTGGACCGCCAGGCTGCATCCAGGGCTTTCTGGGCTGGCACTCTGCACGGGCACCCACCGCCGCCACGGGTTCAGATGCAACATGTTTACCAGCAGGGTTCGTGCTTCGGAACCTGCAGCGGCTCTGCCGGTCTGTGAGGATTCGAGAATCTGAGGTCAGTGGGCCAACGGCCAGCGACCAGCGGCCCACGTCCCTGACTCATGAGCTCTGGCAGGCAAAGAATGCGGAAGGCCAACTTCCAAAGAGCCAACACAGTTCTGTTTACACCTCACACTGGGAGAAGGGAATAAACCCAAAACACTGCAGAGGGCTCAGCGGCTCCTAGCAACCAGCGAGGTGGCAGGGCTGCGGGAAGGAGAGTGTCGGTTCCAGTCTGGGCTCCGCCTGTCCTGGACCAAAAATGCCATCTGCTTGGATGCTCAATTAATGTTCGCTTTTTAAAAACTCACATGCTTCTCAGGCTTGGACAGGCTCACACATGCTCGAATGTGGCCATTTCAAATAGATCCCAGTGTTACCCCAACTTTTGCACATTGTCTGGATCCAAAGTCTGGTTCCCTTTTTCCTCCTTAACCTCCCCACCTGGGCTGGGGAGAGGGTAGGCAGCGCTCAGGGCTGCCTGGCTCCGTGCATGCGGCTCAGCCTGGCTTCCCTGCAGCAGGGCCTCGGCCCCAAGTGCTCTGCCCTCTCCCGTGTAAAGACTTCCTGGCGGCCAATCCCAGCTCCCCCCCACTACTGGGGCCATGGGGGAGGGAGCAGTCCGAGCATGCCTTGCGGGTTCCCAGGGGCCAGCGCCTCGGTGCTCTCCATGGTGGCTTGCCGCTCCACCCAGTCACAGTCCACGGGAGCACTGGCACTGGGAGCTGACGTTCAGAGGGGTGCATCCCACAGAGAAGAGCCGCAATCCATGCTCCTCCTGGTGGCAGAACCGGGACCAGGGGCTGGAGTGACAGGAAGGTGATGCAGGCTTTCCGACCCACCCACCGAGAGCCGCCTCAGAAGCCGCCTTCGCTTGAAGGCCTGACAGCAGCTCATCGGCATCTCCCTGGACCCGGACACGGTGCTGGCCCTGCGCTGCGGCTGAGCAAGATGCCCACCCCCGGCCCCTTCCCATCAGTCCACGGGAGACTCGGGAGTCCAGGGTGGATGGGCAGAGCCGCCGGGGGAGGGGAGGGTTGGCTTGGGAACGTAGCATGGCCTGGAGAAGGCAGTCAGCAGACTTCGTATCTCAGGAAAACGAAGAGAATGGGAGCAGGGAGAGTGGACCCCCGCGGGAATGTGGGTGACTGTTTTCATTAAGGACGCATCCACCCTCCCCTCCCAATCAGACCCGGTCTGCGCCGACAGGGCGGCCCCCGCTCGTGCAGGCCCATGCCCCCAGGGCCTCTGGCCACCACCACCGCACACCAGGGACGACCCCGGTTCCACCACCAAGTGTGCAGCACGCAAGGCCCAGGCCGGGCCTTTGGGACTGGGCTGGAACTCTGCACCACGTGCAGGCAGGTCATTAATGAATGGTCTTTCAAGACCGCTCAGCATGGGTCCCGGGAAGGAGGTGGCCCGTGAAAAGGGTCTCCTCTGCAGCTCATTACAGCCACGGTATCGATTCTTCCATCATTATCAGAAGGCCTTCCCGCCATGTGAAATCCTGCCCCTTGAAGTGTATTCACCAGGGACTGCTCCCCCGTCTCCACCAGCGCTCCCGGCCGCTAACAACCTTCCACGGGCTTTTTGAAAGTGCCAAAGTTTTCAGAGAAGTAAAATGTATAGCACCTGCTCCATTCATCCCCCAAGAAAGAGCAACCCTATACACACACGGCACGCACGCACACAACCCTAAAAAGCGAAAGAAACAAACCAGAATTGTGCTGAATGTGGACCGCCACATCAAAGCGTGCTTCTAAAACTCAGCCACTTGCAAGCGAGCTAAACTTTCTCTGAGTCCTTTTCTTCAACAACCTTGGGGATGTGTGGGTCAGTTTGTTTTGTCTGTTGTCTCCTCTTAACCATAAAAGGATAAGTTGGGGCTCAGCCAAGACCGGGCTGGGTTCTGGAAAATTCCACAGCCCACTTTCCTCCCACAAGCTGCCCCTGATTCCCAGCCTGGAAATTGTGAATTCCTCACTTGAATTCCCCCACGGCCCACCCGGCTGGGTCAGCTTTTAACTGGCCCATTCCCCAGTCACCCCCATAGCTGGCAGATCCTTCTGCCTCTCGACACCCCACAATGCGTGTCTCTGGCTCAGTTTCAGCCCGTTCAATCTCTCCTTTTCATTTCTTCTCTCCCTCTCTGTCTCCACCTGTCTCTGTCTCTGTGTGTGCCCCTGACTCCATGCCCTCGCGTATGGCCCCCTACATGCGCCAGGTACCTACTTCCAAGAGGTGGCGTCACCCTCTTTCGGCCTTAATGAACACTGCCACCCGCCTGGTCCCCTCCTTACGCTGTCCCTCCCCCGCCCCCAGGCCTCTGGACCCTGGAGTACAAGCGCGAGCTCACCACGCCCCTGCGCATCGCGGCGGCCCACGGCCACACGGCCTGCGTGCGACACCTGCTCGGCCGCGGCGCAGACCCCGACGCCAGCCCCGGTGGCCGCGGCGCCCTGCACGAGGCCTGCCTCGGGGGCCACACGGCCTGCGCCCGGCTGCTGCTGCGGCACCGCGCCCACCCCGACCTGCTCAGCGCCGACGGCCTGGCGCCCCTGCACCTCTGCCGCTCGGCCGCCTCGCTCGGGTAAGCGCCGCGCCCCCGACCCGCGCCCCCAACCCGACCCCGCCCGGACCCCGAGCCGGTCTCGGCCTCTGCCCCGGCCCCGCCCCGGACCCGCCCCGGACCCGGACCCGAATCCCCGACCCGCCCTTGGCCGGCAGACCCGGAACCAGGCCAGGCCCCGCCTCCGCCCCTCCCCCGGCCCCTGCCTCGGACCCGGATCCAGGACCCGGACCCTAGACCCCGACCCTCGCGGGCGCCCGCCCCAAGCCCGGCCCGCGCGGGGCTAATTAGCGCCTGATTGCGCGCGCGGGGGGCGGCGCCACGCCGCGGTAATGAGCGCGCGGATCCTGCGCGGACGCCGGCGCCGGGGATGCTAAAAGGCCACTGGCGGGGTTGGAGGCTGAAAAATTAGGGTTTTTAATGATAATTTTATGCAGAATAATTGTCACAGTGTGACACAAATGGCTGGCTCCTTGGGCGGGGGCTCCTAGGCCCGCGCGGAAGCGGAGCTGTCGCGGCTTCTTCGGGGACCCGAGCGCCCAGGCGCGGAGCCTGCACGTCCCCGGTCTGTCCCTGTCCCCGGAGAGCCGCCTCCCTAGTGTGTCCCGTCCCTGGTCTGTCCCGTCCCCGGAGAGCCGCTTCCCCGGTGTGTCCCGTCCCCGGAGAGCCGCCTCCCCGGTGTGCCCCGTCCCCGGAGAGCTACCTCCCCGGTGTGTCCCGTCCCTGGTCTGTCCCGTCCCCGGAGAGCTACCTCCCCGGTGTGTCCCCATCCCCGGAGAGCCGCCTCCCTGGTGTGTCCCGTCCCTGGTCTGTCCCCGTCCACGGAGAGCCAGCTCCCTGGCGGGGCCGCGTGTCATCGCGCAAGGTTAGCGCTCCCTCTCCCCAGCTTACGCGGTGACATCCTGACACTTCATGTAGCCAGAAGGTTCCAGCCCCCGCCGCCGTCGGGGCTATGATCGCTGGGCCGCTACCTGTGCGGTTAAGGTAGAATAAAACCGCCCGTGTGGAGCGGTTGGAGCACGGTGGGCCCCGGGCGGCTTTTCCAGCAGCTGCTCCAAGTCGTCCCTGCTCCCGGGTGGCTGGGGCCGCGGGCAGCGCCACTGAGTCCCGGCGACCAAGGCAGGGCGCAGCCTGGGAAAGGCCACCCCAGTCCGAGGGCCGCTCCAGGAGGTCAGGCTCCAGCTCTCGTCTTGGGAGAAACTGACGGAAACAAGGCTCTAGAAATATTTTTTTAAAATCAGCTTTGCCGAGGTGTAGTCGACACACAACCAGCTGCACGTGTTTAAAGTGTACAGTTTGGGAAACTGGGGTATATACACGCTCATGAGCCCTCCTCCCAGTCCACGGGGTGAGCGCGGCCTGGCGCCCAGAAGGAGCATCCAGTGCCTCCTGGGTATCTCTGCCACAGACCCTCCCTCCTCCTCCCTTCCTAGCACTGACCTGCTGTCCATCCCTGGAGCTTAGTCTGAATTTTCTAGAATTTTATAGAAATGGAGTGTGCTGTCGGTTTGTCTGACGTCTTTCTTTAGAGATAATTCTTCTGAGCCTCTGTGTTGTTGCGTGTGCCCGCAGTTCATTCCTGTGTGTTGCTGAGCAGCGCTCCACGGTGTGGGTGTGCCACAGTGCGTTTATTCATTCATAGCTTGGAGCAGACGTGATGGCTTTCGCTCTGGGTCTACTACAAGTAAAGTCGCTATGAACGTTTGTTCACCAGCCTTTGAATGGGCATATGCTTTTATTTCTTTTGGACAAATACCTAGGATCGGAATGGCTAAATCATATGGTGAGATTGAGAAGACAACCTTTTAAGAAGTTACCAAGCTGGTTTCCAAAACTGTACCATTTTACATTCCCACCAGCAACGTCTCGGCGTTCAGTTGCCTACATCCTCGCCGATACTTGGTATGGTCAGTCTGTACTTGTACACATTCTAATAGGTGCGTAGAAGTATCTCATTATAGTTGTGGTTTGCACATCCTTAGTGGCTGGTGACATTGAGCATCTTTTCACGTACTTTTGGCCGTACATACACAGTCCTGTGTCACTTAACAAAGGAGATGGCATTCTCAGAAATGCACCGTTTCATCATTGTGTGACCCTCACAGAGTATACTTACACAAACCTAGAGAGAATAGCTTACTATACAGTTAGGCTGTGTGGTACAGCCTATTGCTCCTAGGCTACAAACCTGTATAGCACGTTACTGTACTTAATACTGTAGGCAATTACAATACAATGGTAAGTATTTGCCACATAGAAAAGATATGGTAAAAATACAATATAATCTTGTGGAACTTCATTGTATATGGTATGCAGTCCCTTGTTGTCTGAAACATTGTTGTAAGGGACATGACTGCATCTTCTTTGGTGAAGTATTCTCATTTTTCAAATTGGGTTGTTTGTGTTCTTATTAAATTTTGAGGTTCTTTATATATGCTATTACTAGATACAAGTCCCTGGTCAGATATGTGATTTATAAGTATTATGTTTTAGTCTCTGCCTTATATTTTCTTCTCTTAACAGTATCTTTTGAAGGAGAGAAGTTCCTAATTTTGATGGAGTCCAATATATCAATTTCTTTTCTTTCAGAGATAGTGTTGGGTTATTGTATCTAAAACATTTTTGCCTAACCCAAGATCACAAATATTTTCTCTTATGTTTTCTTCTAGAAGTCTTTTTAATTTTACATTTTACATTTAAGTCTAATCCATTTTGAGTCAAATTCTGAATGTGGTGGGAGGTATGGATTTAAGCTTTTTGAGAAATATATGGATATCCAACTGCTCTGGCATTAATTGTCGAAAAGCCTTTTCTTTCTCTACTGAATCACCTTCCCATCTTTGTCGAATACCAGTTGACTACATATGTGTGGGTTTATTTCTGGACCCTTTTGTCAAGCGTGCACAAGACAGGGTACGGTCTGATCAGCTCAACGGGTAAATACACAAGGAACCTCCTTAAATAGAGAGAGGAAGAATAGCCAACAGTGCTGGCTCCTCATATCATCCCACACTCTGAAAAGGATGACACCAACACATAAGGGGCTGGAGGATGTCAACATGAGTTGAAGGACACCCCATTGATAAGCACTCAGATCTAGATTTGAGCTGAGCAGTTTTATGCTCTGTAGCTCTATTCTCAGGGGGGAGAGGGCGGGGTGAGACAGGAAGCCCCATACCTTAGCAGAATGCAGGCGTGATAAGAAACAGTCTCATGACAGCCTCCCGGAGGACATAGAAAGGCAAATGGGAAGTGGCCTTGTAGCAACTCCTTACAAGCTTCCAGTCCAGGAGGATAACAGGGTGTTCTGCCGAGACTTCGATTCAGCAATGGTTCCAATTTTGCCTGTGTGGCCTAGGTGCAAAGCCAGCAGCATGCCATGGCAGAGCCGCCCCCACTGTCTCTGTTCTATCTCTTTGCTCTATTTGTCTATTTTAACACTTATACCACACTGTCTTGAATACTGTAACATTATAATACATTTTGAAGTCATGTAGTGTAAGTTATCAAATATTGTTCTTCTTTCTGAAAGTTGTTTTGGCTATTCTAGCTCTCTTGCATTTCCATATGAATTTTAGATTCAGTTTGTCAATTTCTACAAAATAGCCTGCAGGGTTTTGACCAGGGTTGCCATAAATCTGTAGATCAATTTAGAGAAAGTTGACATCACAAAAATATTGAGGCTTTCATCCCATGAACATGGTATAGCCCTCCATTTATTTAGGTCTACTTTAATTTCTTTCAGCTATGTTTTATATTTTTCAGTGGACAGAGCTTGCACATATTTTATGAGATTTGTCTCTTATTATTTCATATTTTGATGATGTTATCAATAGTATTTTAAAATTTTAATTTCTGATTGTGTATAGCTACCATATAAAATTGATAATAGTTTATTTTGTATATTTATCTTATATCCTGCAACCTCGCTAAACTCACTAATTGTTCTAGTAGCTTTTTGTAAATTCCATAGGCTTTCTACTAAGGCAATCATGTCATCTGCAAATAAATACAATTTTATTTTATTTTTTGCAATCTGGATGCTTTTTGTTACTTTTTCTTGTTTTATTGCACTGGCTAAAATCTCAAGTACAATGTTGAATAAAAGTTGTGAAAGCAGACAATTTTTTATATTCCTGATCTTAGAAGAAAACATTAAGTCTTTCACCATTAAGTATGATATTAGATGTAGAATTTTTGTAGATTCCCTGCTTCAGAGATATAGCGCTCCTTTCTATTCTTAGCTTACTGAGAGTTTGTATGAATGGATATTGAATTTTTCAAATGCTTTTTCTAATATATGGAGATGATCATATGATACTTTTTTGTCTTTTAATACAATGATTTACACTGATTGATTTTCAAATGTTAAACCAACCTTGCATTCCTGGGATAAACCACATTTGGTTGTGAGATATTATCCTTTTACCTATATTGTTGGGTTTGACTTGCTGAAAAAAAATTTATATATGCATCTATGTTCACAAAAGATATTTATGTGTAGTTTTCTTTTCTTGTAATGTCTTTATCCAGTTTTGGCATCAAAGTAATGGTGTCCTCAAAAATGATTTGGGAAGTGTTCCTTCCTCTTCTGTTTTATCGAATACCTTTTGTAAAATTGTTAATATTTCTTTTTAAAATGTTTGGTAGAATTTGTCAGTGAAGTTATTTGGGGTGTGGAGTTTTGTGAGAAGGTTCTTAACTATGAATTCAATTTCTTTGCTAGATATAGAGCTACTCAGGTTATTTCTTTTTGAGTGAGCTTTAATAGTTTGGCTCTTTTAAGAGATGCGTCTCTTTTGGCTAAGTTGTTAAATTTATTGGCATAAAGCTATTCCTTATTATCATTTTAATAGCTGTAGATTCTATAGTAATATCACCTCTCTCATTCATGATACTAGAATATGGCAGTTTTTTCCCCCTAATCAGTGTTGCTTTTGGTTTTATTGGTTTTCTCTATTGTTTTTCTGTTTTCTATTAAATTGATTTCCACAATGCTCTCTATTATTCTCCTTTCTTTG